CCCCAAAACCCCAAAACCCCAAAACCCCATCATCGAAGATAGTGATTGAGAGTAAAATTTAAAAATTTAAATTTCAGGAAATTAATGCAGGACAAAAAAGGCAAGTTTGAATTCTACTCAGTTGCCGGTCAATTAGATTACTTTAAAAGCTAAGCTCATTAGAATCTATCGTCTTAGGAATAAATGAAATAGAAATAAAATAGCTACAATAATTAATCATACGAAAAAGAGAATCAGATACCACCAAACAAAAGTACTCTTTAAAGTAAAAATAGCAATCATAATCAATAAAATGATACGTAAAAATATTTTATTTCCAGTCAAGGAAAGTCTAAGAGAGACCTCAATAGCTCGTATGATATGCCAAGAACTCATTCAACATAAACACTAAAATCCTAGAATAAATCTAACAATCCCTCATCTTATGCCCAAACTACAACAAATCAACCCTACAGAACTGAAAATTGCTCTTATATCAACACTACAGACAATAATGATAATTTCTATATAGAAGCTCCACCGAAGAATGTTGATAGGACCTTTTAGTATATCAAATCTCAGTTTAACATCTAAAATGAAATCTCAATGTAGGAGTAGGAATGGTCAAGCATATATGATATTATCCCAAGTAAACAGCCAAATACTTCCTTCAAAAATTCAGAATACTCTTTTTCCAAAATGTATCATAGAAATCATGATGATTCAAACAAATCGAGAGACTCTCGGTATAAATCCTCTTAAAACAAGAGAAATAATCATAACATTGATATGATTAATTACTAAAGCATGCATTAATCCAATATGATCAATAACTCTAACTATTATGATGATTAATAGATGCAGCTTAATAACTCTTTCAATCCCTAGTTTAGTGATTAGAATTATTAGTCAATGAATTACTCAATGAACCTACCCTAATCAACTAAAAATGTAAATATGACAGATATAATGTACTCCACAACTAACAGAAGAGGTACCTAAGAATTTAGGTCTACAGCTGGAATTAAGCCTTAGCATCATCTCTAATAAGTGTTTAAAATGAATAGAGATGGATCTTAATAAAGATTTATTTAACATCCTGATATGAGTATGCTTTCGAACACTTTCGAGTTGGAAGATGATTACAGAATGCAACTAATTTATCTCCGATTATGGCAAAAAGCTGTCAAGAAAATTAAACAGAGGAGAGTTGAAAAGAAAGTTTTCATTAAAAATTTAGCTATAGCCATTCATTTCCATGAGTAGTCTTTGATGACTAAAGGAGTTCTATCATTTATTAAGTTTAGAGTGTTGAGAGAATAAAGAAGTATTAGTGCCCTCAAAGTATCAAAAAAGGTTGGTGTAAATATTAAGAAGTTCTATTTCACTTAGCTTACAAAGAAATTTAAGGAATCTAGGTGGATTAAATCTGGCTTGACAATTGCCTAAATATATTTTAAGAAAGAAACAAAGAAAAAGCTGTTTTACACATTTAGGTAAATAACTAATTAAAAAAGAGATGAGAGGGTAAAAATCTTGAAGAGAATAAGATAAAGACCAGGAGCTTTGAAAATTATTTTTGAGTATTTAGCTATGAGCTTGACTGGAAAGAGCAAAATAGATCTCTTAAAGTTTCACTCGATTGCTTTGAATCAGGATAAGATAAGATATCAGCAGAGATAATAATTTACTTAGATGATTGAGTAGACTTTAACATATTCGATGAAATTAACTTTTCAAAATTGGATGAAGTTTACTGATTCAATTCTCGCATTCAAGAATAAGATGATTAAAAGAAAGAAGAAAATAGCATTTAATTGCATTAAGTAAAACTTGATTTCAATAAAAAAGGCCAAATGTCAAGTTTATAAAGTATTCATGAATATAAAGTACAAAAGTCTATATGCCTTAAGGCTGAATGCAGATGCTTAATAATTACTTAAAAAGAAATAATTGTACTTATTTAGAAGATATAGAAAAAGAGTTTTTAATAGACACTTTGGTAGCTGGTAAAAACTATTCTACCACTATAAAAATATTATGGGTGAAAGTACAGAGAAAAATATATTAAGCTCATCAAATTTTCTAAAAAAGTACTTTTTTGCTCTAAAGAATTTCGCTTCTGAAAGATTAGCTGAAAAAAATTAAAAAATTAAATCAATGATGCATTACTACGATAGATATATAAGGAACTGCTTTAGTTCTTGGAAATAAATATCTAAGAAAAGGAGTTTATTGAATAAAGCAAGAAGAGTCGTTTAAGGCAATCATGAATTAGACGAAAAAGAAAAATACTTTAAAGAATGGATAAGAAGATGTTTTTATAATGAAATGATAAAAAGGCTAAGAGCAAAAACTCTTAAGACCAAATTTATATAGAGTTTGAAATTAGCAATAAGATATAAAAAAGTGAGGTAAGAGATAGTAGTAATATGCTAGGAGCAATATTTGAGAAATCTATAGTTAAAAGCACTTAAATCTTTAAGAGTTAAGCTAGATGAGAAATTAAAATTGAGAAATATGCTCTAAATATTTTAGAGGAAGACTAATTTGTAGAAAATAGAGAAGATCTTAAATGTCTTCAAATTAAATGTTGAAGAAAATATTCATTTAAGAGAATAAGAGCACATTGTTGAAAGATTTAGACAATAGTAACTCTTCTTTAAGTATTTCGAGAAAATTAGAAAAGGAACATAAAAACAGAGATTACTTAAATAAAATTTTATTAAAATCAGTAGCTACGTGAAGAGTAAAGTAAAGTTCAGAACACTTTAGAAATTTGCTTAAAAATTGGATTGCAAATAATAGCTTAAGTACTATCAATTCTAGTTTTTGTATAAGAAGCAAATGAATGAGAAATCAAAGATTTTTTACTACATGCTGAATAAGAAAAGAGACCTTAATCATAAGTACTATTAGGTCAATGAAATAATTAGATTTAAGAATAAGGCGACAATCTTTAGACTCTGGTACTAGGCTGCATGCTAGATTTAATATATAAGAAATGGCTACTTATAACTTTAGAATCATTAGGTAACTAATACTCTCTAGAAATATTGGAAAAATTGGAGTAATTACGTAGAGTAAAGTATTCTTCGAAAGAAATATGAGCAGGTAGCTATTTTCTTTTTCTTAAGGAATTTTTTGAAGAAGTACCTATATTCATTGAGGAATCATGCATTAATCAAGATATAGAAACGAAAAATATTGACTAATTTGGCAATGCATAGATTTAGACATTAATTTTAAGCATTTAAGAAGATATTGTTTAAGGATATTAATAGAAAAAAGATATATTTCAGATAAATCAGTACCATTTTGAAAAAGGTGATATCTAATTGGAATAGCTATTCATCTAAACGTAGATATTTAAGATAAAATAAGATCTAGTTTAAATATAAGTATGAATAAGTAAAAAAGCTAGAAATACTTTAGGTTCTGCTATAAAATAAAGAGTAGAAAGGTCTTTGCTATCAAGAACAGTACTTATACATGAAGTAGAGAAAGCAATAATTGATCATATAGAATCTGTTTGATCAAACTTAACAAAGCAAATTTATCTAGAAAAAGTATGAGTCAGTTCATAAAACATTGTTATATAAGATGTATTAAGAAAGATTTTATCTTTGGTATAATCAATTTATCCTATCAAAAAAAGAAAGGACTTTAGCATTACCTTTCTTAGCAGAATCTAAGATTCATATAAAAAGAAAACAGTTTGATGTATTGAAGCAGTACTCCTTAAAATCTAAATTCTTCAAAAAATGTCAGTTGAAGATTGATTAAAGATACTCTTTAAAACTTAAATTAGTCTATTTCCAAGTACTTCAGTAATACAGCAAATCACAAGCTAAGATAAATAACATAAAAATCTAAATTCAAAATATTCACTAGTATCATCAAAAGAAGTAGTTATTAATGTATATTTAGGATAATGTCAAGAATAGAAAGAATTTAAAGAATAAATAAATGACACTAGTAAAGTAAACTAGAATAAATACCTAATAGCAATTTTTTAATAAATGGATAGAGAGATATAATAAGTGGATGAATTTTAAGCCAAAATTACAGCAGGCTGAATAGCTTTATCACTATATGATTGCAAAAAAAGCATTCAACAAGGTAAAGCAATATTTGTATCTTGGTAAAAAGAAGATTGAGATGCTAAAAAGCATAGAATATTACAGATTAGAACTACTTTAGCACAAAGCCTTTTCAAAACTCAAAGAATTTCATAAACTATAAGGAAAGGTACAAAGATTTCAATACAGATCATAAGTTTAGTTTAAAGGTACATGCTTCTAATAATGGAGAAAGAAATACTTAGAACTCATCAAGAGAAGGAGAAGTGAGCTCAATCAATAAAGAGTCATTTATTGTTTGTAGAATCACAAAGAAATCCTAAAAAGAGCTGCTTTCAATGGATTTAGTACTCTGCTTGTATAAAGGCAGATAAAAAAGCAAGGGATATCACAAATTGAGAATGTTTTTTGGAAAATAATGAAAAGAAAGTCGTTTAAAGCCATAAAAGAGCATATGATTGAAGAAATTAAAAATGAGGAAGCTCTGGTCCATCAATAGGTTTTCAAGAAAAAGTCAATTATGAAGGCTTTAAGGTTCTTTATGGATCATTCTAAGTTAAATCAGACTATGCAAATGCAATCAAATGCTTTCAATAGAATCAAGTATCTTAGAAAAGTGCTTAATGCGCTTAAAAACAACAAAGAAAAGACTAATTAGATGAGACTAATGTACGCAAAAACTAACAAAGCTTATAGAAAGCAACTTCTTCAGAAGGCGTTATGGACTCTTCACTGGAATAAAATGAGAAATCACTATCTTAGAGGTTTATTCTTTAAATCAGGAGAGTATAATGACCATAGGATTAAGCAAAAACTTTTCAAGTCACTAAAGATTCCTCTAATTACCAAGTATAAAGCCTTGACTATTCAAGAAAAGAGAGAATTTAGAGTGCTCTCAGACTATCTCAGCTATTGGAGGTATTAATATGATCAAATTGAGGCTAAAAGACAGTTAGAGATGTACAATCAAAATGCAAGGTACCAAGAGCAGAATGATCTAAGTATGGATTTCAATAATCACAATAGCAGCCTTATTGATCCCAATTTCGGAATAAATTTAAGCAATAATGATCATTAGATTGACAATATTAATTGTGGCAGATTGATCTAAGATGAGAGCGATGATGAAGATAAATGAAAGATTGCCATTAATTTGGAACTTTGGTGAATATCTAAATATCTTTAATAACTGAGTGTATTAGTTAATAGATAAATACGTTTAATTAAGTAATATCATAAATTTCTAACAAGAAAAGCAAGTTCCTAATTGAGAAAACCCTGGAATTCAAAAGTCTTTGAATAGCATGCCTTGACACAATTTTCCTCGTGAGCCTCTAAGTACATTGAATCGTAGTCCTTGACGCATGAGCGAGTGCACTTAGTTACCATAGAAGCCATGTTCTCAAATACCACTCTTTGTTTCAAATCCTCAATGAATCCCTGGACGTCTGCAATCGACTAAGTTGGCTTGTTGGCTTGTTCTTCCATTGATTATTCCAAAATTAAAGCTGTAATAAATTTATAATTCAACGAATGATAGAATTATTATAATTGAGCACTCTGGGGTTTTGGGGTTTTGGGGTTTTGGGGTTTTGGGG